CTTGTTTCTAGCGCCTGACAGTGTTGTGTGCTTTGTCTTTTTTCAACTATGAAATGTGACACTGTCCCACCAAACTAAATAAACAGAGTAACTGATGCCGGACCCTTCAAAACTGTCACATATCCTATAAAGTTTTTGTTTTCAATATATTAATGTCGGGCAACATTTCCATTCATTGAAGTCACTGCTGTCTCTCCAGACTTTCATTTCTGTATTCAGTGCTAGTTGTAATGGGTGTTTTAGTTAGTGTAAACAGTTTTGGCCCAAGTGTTCTTGAGGTATGATCCAGGATACAACTGCTTCAGGGCTATTAAACAGAAATGTCTGGTTCTAGAAATAACTACTGTAAATACTTTTAGCTGGAATTAATTTTCACTATAAAAGACATTTTGGGTGTTTTGTAAGGAATTTATTTTCACTGTTTTTTACGAGTTGAATGTAAAATATAGGAAAAAAGGTATATTTGCTAGATTTTATTTTCACTGAATCATTCCTTCAGCAACAATAGCAAAAATTAATTCTAAGTTTGTAGAAAGCAAGTTTGACTATAGGTCTTCGTTATAACAAGGTAACAGCTAGGTAATAAACACAGTGTTTGTAGATAACAAGTTTCACTATAGGTCTTCGTTATAACAAGGTTACAGCTAGGTAATAAACACAGTGTTTGTAGATAACAAGTTTCACTATAGGTCTTCGTTATAACAAGGTAACAGCTAGGAAATAAACACAGTGTTTGTAGATAACAAGTTTCACTATAGGTCTTCGTTATAACAAGGTTACAGCTAGGAAATAAACACAGTGCTTGTAGATAACAAGTTTCACTATAGGTCTTCGTTATAACAAGGTTATAGCTAGGTAATAAACACAGTGTTTGTAGATAACAAGTTTCACTATAGGTCTTCGTTATAACAAGGTAACAGCTAGGAAATAAACACTCAGTATTTGTAGAAAACAATGTTTTATTGGCACTCTATAATATTTCTAGAAATGAACCCTAATTTTGGAGCAAACAGACAAAATTTTAGTCAATTTTTACAATCAAAAAATGTGTCTATTTTTGTCCCAATCTTTCGAAAGAAAGTGCAGACTGTAAAAGGGACTGCTCTGTGAATTTGTGATGAAAAGAAGGAACTGGTGGTAAAAAGGTTAAACTTTCCAAATACATAGCACAGTAACAATGTGGAGTTACAGCACAGTATGGTACAATCCAGACGTAACTGAACTTCCAAGCAGGCTTTGCCTTTCCAAGTTTTAAAGCAAGTATCATTAGTCTTAATTTGTATTCTTTGTAACATTTTCCCTTCACTTTACTAATAATATGAAACATGTTTACAGGGGTTTTTCTAGAAAAAAACTGCAAGAGGGAGCACTGTAATTCAGCGGAGCCATCAAGTGGGGGAAATAGGGTTCTCCCTACCAGGGTGTGGGGTTTTTGATAATTCTAAGTTAAAATGGAGCATTCCATGGCTTCCTGAGGGTCAAAATTACTATCAGATAGGTCACAGTTGAAGACTGGCCAAATGTGATCCCTGGTCAATCAGAATTTTATGGTTGCCAGGGAGTCTGCTCCCAGGCATGGCCATGACATGAGGGCGCTGCCCCCCTGTGTTTAGGCAGATTATTCTGCACAATTTACATATGTCTATTTGCATAGCATAGATTTAAGTCTAATGTTGCAGATAAACGCATTAAACAAGTCTGTTTTAATCTGCTTATATTATAACTTATCTTCACACACACATATATATAAACTAATTTGCATATATTTAAATCTGTATACATGTATACAAAATCATGAACTTGTTATTGCAAATTGTTATTTGGTGTTTGATGGAATTTCCTACTAGGATTCTAGATAGAAGTAACAATATGAATATTGAACCATCTCAAATAAAAAGCTTGCTTGGATAAATAACATTTTATCATACAGTTCAAACATTTTTTTTCCTGTTATAAAATATAATATATTCTAATACAGAGTACTATCTATACAAAGTTGAGGATTTCTTTTGTGCATGTAAAACCCTCTAAAAACTGAACTCGACATTAGACGATCTAGTGTACTTTTACAACATGTAAATACTAAATGTATAGAGTTACTATTTTAGTGCTATGAGTAAAATTAGAATTGTGAAAATATCAAACGTCAGTTATAAATTTATTTGGTTGATCTGATAAATGCTGCCCTCACAGTCACAATTACATATAGATTCACTGCCCTCTAGAGGCTAAATGGTTCCATTGTTGTCTGTTAAAGTGGCAGGAGCTTTCACCAATTCTTTTTTAAATTTTGTAATTATGTTTCTATACTAAGACAAAGTAACCCGTGTGGTTCCAACATTTCTAAACATGTTATATGGCAGATATAACAAATAAATCACATGCAAATAATGCGTAAATCACATGCAAACCATATGCAAATACATGCAAACCATATGCAAATACATGCAAACCATATGCAAATAACATGAAAACCATATGCAAATACATGCAAACCATATGCAAATAACATGCAAGTAGTTTGAAAATAAATTTGTAGTTGACCAAAAGTTCATTTTTTAGTTAAGTGCATGCATTGCACAAAGATCCTAACACTACCCCATGTATGTACACTTAGTACCATAAGGATTACTTTTTATATAATTCACTGTTGACCAGACAAAATTTGATATTGCTTTTGAAAAAAATGTTGGTAATCTTAGTAATGGAAGTAACAAACATTTTAAATTTAAAAAATGTGATATTGCTTTTAAAAAAAATGTTGGTAACCTTAGTATAAATGGAAGAAAAAAATGTTTAAATTTACAAAATGTGTTGCATAGAAATTCAATGATAACTTTAAATAATCACAATGTTTTAATTTACCGTATTTAGCTGCCAAGGAAATAAGTAAAAAAATATATTTTACATGCTTTCACTCTGAATTCTTTTACAGTATTTTGTAAAAACTTGAAAATCGCAACTACATTTTGTATCTTATCACATAACACCTTAGTTGTGGAATGAATTACCTACCAACAAACAATCTTATACAAGAAACTCCATAGTCAAAATGGCTGCGGTTATTTTCATTATTTGATCTTTGTAGCATTCTACAATTCTTGTTTCATTAAAAAGTGTTGGAATACCAATCAGGTAAAAAAATTGCATAGTCTATATAAATGTTGGGTGAGGTTAAAATGTCCTCTCCAAATATTTACTAGTGTAAATTTGCACCAGTAAAGTAAAAATTAATTTTCAATATCAAACAATTAAAATTAATTTGGCTGGTATAAAAAAAACGATACAAAAAGATTGTTTCTGCTCAAAATTCATCGCTAGTATCTGACAAAGAATCTGATTATGAATTTACAGTACAGAGCTACATGCTATATGCAGTCTATATATGAATTTTATATTAAATATTACTGTTTTATACTAAGCAGTAGTTAAAATCATGAAAATTGTTCATGCATTTAGCCAAGTTGCACGGCTGATCATTTGATAAATACTGCCCTCACAGGCGCAACTTCATTGTTACTTTGTAACGGTCCTTCCTTAACTAGTTCTCTTGCAGCATAAATGTAGCATTCTGATAACAAAGTAGTGTCAATATTTTGTTATAAATTTTTTATTAAATCGACAATAGCTGTAACTATTTTCTCCAAATTTGTTTTTTCCCCATGTCATTATTGTCAATCTGTAATGGCCATCAGCGAAACATGGACGCTCTCGGGGATTACGGTACAAGATTTTACCATAGACCCGTGGGCAAAATGTCAAATACGTTGTCATCTTGAGGGGCTAAGCCTCTCTGACGGCCTCTAATTATTCTCCATAATAGTGTATGTCATAGATCACAGTTCTCTGTGTTTCCCATGGTGAAACCAATTTGAATCTCTATTCATGTGACATTAGTATGGTCACTTTGCACAATATTTTTAGTAAGATTTTGTCTTCTTTATGTTGTTTAATTTTCAAAGTCACAGCTATTTTACTTCATTCCCTTTGAATTCGTGAGTCAACTTTTGTCATCTTTTAAAAAATAAACCCACAAAACGTTTTCCTCAATTTTGAATAATTGTACCCAGTATGAAATTATTACCATTTTTCCCCCAAAATTATCAAAATTATCAAAATATGATGTCATTCAAAATATATGAACATCACTTTACTCTTTGAACGCCACAGTCGACTTTTACAAAATAAAACCCACATAATTTATTTTATAGATTTTTTGAAACAAATAAAAAAATTATATCTATTTGATCCAAAATATCAAACAAATTACTGAAAAATACATAAGAATAGAAAAAATATTGCACCAAACTGCAGTAGGAACAATTTCGAAACTCAAAGGGTTTATAATAATCTTTCAATATTGACCCTCACGTATAAATCTCTGCACACTCCTCTCTGTTAATTTATGCTGCTATGTAGTTCATGGTCATTTTTAACTTGGCTTGGGTCTCCTGCTGTGTCATATTGATCTAAAATGTCACTGATTGGACGTCCATCATAATTTACATTCTCGGTATCTTCTCTAACATAATCACTGTCGATTTCACATGGTGAATGTTCAAATCCAGTGTTTTCTACATCACAGACGTCAGCTCTAGCGGAATCATCATAGACTTCACTTATTGGATGAGCTGAGGGAACAAATCCGTCATATTCAAGATTCCCTGCATTGTCTTCATTGCAAACATTATTGATAGGATTTGGTGTATCGTCGATTTCATTGTTTTCCACACTATCATCACCAGCTCTAGCATAATCATCGTTGACTTCACTTAATGGACGTGGTGACCGATCAAGTCCATCATATTCCACATTCTCTCTGACTGCTGACTCATAGTGATCCTTGATGACGCTGATATTCCGTGGTGATCGTACAAGGTTGTCATAGTTGTCATTGTGATATTTGTAATCTTCGGGGAAAACAAAAAAAAATATCATTATTTTGTTTGATGAAACTTTGAAGAATTCTTTAAAATACTAATGTCAGTGTTGATGTTGGTGCCAGTGTTGGTAGCAACACAAATGACAGTGTCACCACCAATGCCAATGTTGACATCAGAACGAGTGTCACCACCAGTGTCAGTGTGGTACAAATTAATACAGTAAATTTAATCAAAATGTTCCTACCGTGTTGTTGAGGATAATTAGTGACTGGAGACCCAGGTGGAGATGTGGATGCAAAATTGGAGTATGTATTAGTGACTGGCTCTAGGTACGGTGACTCTAGTGCTGCAAGTCTTTGTTTCTCTGCGGCAAGTGATTCCTTTACTGTGGCTGCAATGTCCTCCATACTGGCATACACAGGTTCGCTATCTTCATCATCATAGTTACTTGGAAACCCTGGGAACAAAAATATCAGAAACTTCAAAGTTAGGGCTTATTTTGTTTTTGCTATTGGAATTGAAACAAAGATCTCTGCACTGAATCACTATATGTTCTGTCTTTGTGTTTTATTTTGCAATTTCTTATTCCAGTCGTTATGCTTTCTAACTTCACATACATGAGAACTGCTGTGCAAATCATCAACTACTGTTGACGCAGACAAGCACAAACAATCATGACCTGCATGCACAAGCATTAACAGTATGCTTTGGATATATGTTAAAAAAAAATGTTAAAATGTTAAAATTGTTACAAGTATTTCACTTACTTTGTTGACTGAAGTAGTTGTTGGAAGCACCTTTAGAGAACTCATCGATAGGAATTGGTGGTGGCAGTGGAAACGCACTGTAATCTGTTCCATTGTCCCCTGCAAGACACAAGAACACACAATTTGAATATAAATATTCTCTGATAAAATTGATAAAACGTAAAGTGTAATGAATTACACTGTAATTAATTAATTAATTAATGAATTTCATGAAGGCATGAGCATATTATTATTGATATTTATGAAACATTTACCCTGGCACTTTATTTAAATCCAAAGCATTTGATTCCATCGTTAATAGATGCCATTTGGTAATGACCACAAGTCTTTGCAGGTTTACCTTAGCGGAACTCGTATATAGAATATCTTTACATGCATGGGAGTGAATCAGCCAATGCTTGGTCCCACAAAGACGTTAGCCAATAGCTTTTATAGCCGATGCAAGGGTCTTTGGATTTAAATAAATCGTGACAGTCTTGAGGGTAAATGAACATAAAAATATTTGATTAATTTCTATAGAAGCAGTTCATGAAATGAAGTGTACTACTTACGTTTGTCATCAAATGTATATGAACTAACTGTTGGATCAGGAGTATAGTGGTTTCCTCTGACACTGGATTTAGGGATGTACAAAACATTGGTTCCTACGATAATCTGCGAGTTCTCCTGCCCTCCACAAATTGGTCCTGACACATTGCCAAGTTGATTGTTGTTACCGCACTCCGTGTCGTCATCGTTTACTCGGAAAACCCCCCTGTACAATGTGATTAAAATACAACAATATGTCATGAAAACTAAACAAGAGAATTGAACAGTTTGAGCATTGAGTGCGCTGTAGATTTTTTTTGTACTATTATCGCATTCTTTTGTTTCAATATTGGTATGACTTTTGTGATTTTTTTTACCCAGTACAAAATAACTTTATTGTCTGAAAACATGAAAAGATGGGTCATTTCAGAAATATTTTCAAGGTGAACATAATTTTAGAAAAAGGTTTTAGTCAGAATGATTCACCATGTGTACCCTAATGAAATTTTGAGATATGACTAAACCTTAATAGCATACATTAGTAGGAACAATGGCTCAAAAATTGCCATTCCCAAGGACAAATTTTTGTTCAAAAATTAGTACCCCCTGGTAAGTTAACCACACATTTTTATTTGGATTTTTTGAGAAACAGCGTAAAATAAATCCAAAACATGGTAGTAAAAGTTATGGAAGTCGAGCTTCAAGTTTTAATAGTAGCCAATGACCTGAACAAACAATGCAGTAAGTTACAAACGTCAAATATTTTTGATTTTTCATTCTATGTTATTTCTATTTATTACAGTTAATTTAAATAAGACAATTATTTGCAATGAGTTTTCAATGTAATTTCTGATTGATAATGATTTAGAGAGAACAATTTTAATCATCAGATAACAAGTAAAGTCAAATGACATGAGAACATAATTTCTTACAATAAAGTGTAGTAAAAAAAACCCAGATGCATGAGGCCCTTGTGACAAGGGGGCCAACAAAAATTCAGGAATTTACATATTTCGTCACTACCACCGGGCCATGTATACATTTTTTTCTCCCAGGTGTTGATGAGTGTGTGTGTGTGTGTATGACATACAATAAAGAAATTAACAAATGATGGTTGCCATGGTTATTTTTGTTATTTCTCCCATAGCGATGTATACAACACATATAAAATATAATGATTTTCTAGCTTAAGCTATACAAGGCTAAAATTGAGTCACAATAACGTACGTACGGTTTACAGAGTATAAGCTCTTTGAATATGAATAATGGTGGTCATCGCATTGTGATCATGATTTTTGAATTTCATGTAAACAATGCATTCCACATGATGGATATGTTGCGTGGGACTCGCATCGAAAGTGACATGGTGCAACAACCATCATTTAAATTTCAAATTGACAGGTATAACCATGCACAATTGCTTTTATACAATGTTGTTTTTGTTTGTTAATATTTCTGACAATTCCAATCTATTCCAAGTCTATCTCTGCATCTATTGAGAGGTGGGCAGGGAGTACAATTTTTAGAAAGTGGGTCGGTCAGAAAGCTATCACAGAACTCTTTGTTAAAAATAAGTAGGACAAGGACAGGCAGCATAGGGAATCTATAACTATAATGTTCAAGGTTACAGTAGCATGTTTAGAAATGTGCTCATGAGTTGTTTTTTTTAGCCAATATTTGTGTAGTTTTTGTCAACCCTTTGAGTGCCAATTTTGTTTTCCTTCCAAAATGTTAGTGCAACATACTTTCCACATTTTTAAGAATTTTCAATTTATTTGTTAATTTTGAGTGAGGTAGAAATAATTTTCAATTGGTGACTGATCTTTATTAAGATTATCAAATTAATATGAACGAGGAGAATTTATTTTGAAAAAGTGACAAAATTTGGTATTGGTATTTAAAGGATTCATTCTGTAAAATACATGTACATTATTTTAGATGAACAGACATTGGGTGTTTTGTATGGAATTTATTTTCACTGATTTTTGACAAGATGTAAAATGTAAAATATAGGAAAAAAGGTACCGGTATATTCGCTGGATTTTATTTTCACTTCACGATTCTTTCAGAAAAAATTAATTCCCAGCGAAAATAAAATATTTTACAGTAATAATGATCCCAAAATTGTCCAGCTTTTGCACAGGAACATGCAATATGGTACTTATGAACCGGTAATGAAGAAAAAAAAAAAAAAAACCCCACTAATTAGGGCCTTTTTTGAATAGTGTGTTCCATTTAGTTCTGCTAATAGAAATGTAAATAAAAGGTGAATAACTACAAGTGCTTTATAAGTAGTATATGTGGTTACAAAAATAACAGGAGTGTCTGTGGTCAAACCCTATTCTAATGATGTATGAAATTAAACTTTGGATTTATGTGTGCTTTTATCGAGAGACACTCCCAATAAAACAAATATATTGAGACACAGAACATGAATCACAAACAGAATTAGAATTATTTATTTGATAACACATATATAATAATTTGAAATAACTACATGTAAATAGACATTGACAATATTAGGATTCATACCAGTACATGTGTATATGTAAACAAACAAAGTACAGACTAAGAAACAAAATGCAGTACAAAAATAATATAATCGGGGTTACAAAATTGACTTGAATTCTAAAAATGAACCTGGTTCTTTATATGTATACCATTCAAACTTGACTGTATTTGTTCTATTAAACTGATCTTTATGTTGCACTCAGAAAGCACCAATACAGCTCTAAAGTTGTCTTACAACTATTATGTGTGAAAATTAAATGTCTAAATTTGTCCAAATTGTTGAAAATGAATAATAAATGTTTCAAATTTCAATGCTTCTAAGCGTGTCTGATTTGATTACGAGCATCATGAATTTATAACAAAGACAGAATCCTGTTTTTTTTTTCTCTCTGCAATATATGCAGATTCACACTTATCAATATTTTCACAAAATAATCAAGACCACAACCACAACTATGAATACTCTCATATTTAACAGATAGATCTTTGTGATGTTTTTAAACTCGACCCAAACTGATTGTTGGCCGACATGACCATCTATGAATGATGAGCTTTTAACAGAACAAATACGGTATATAATTCAACTGTGTATCAAAGTTACAAAACTGACCCATCATACGAGAATCAAGCCACAATGGGCTGGCATATA